GAATTAGGTAAGAGGTTGATATACCATGCAAATGCTAAGCCTGTCAACGAAAAGTTGAACAACGCAGTTTATGGAAATCACTATTAACATCTCCACATTGCGCAGTGAACCAGGCCACATGTTATAACGATGACAAAGACGATTCTCCAGCAAAAAGGTTGAAATCTGGGATCTTGAAGCCTTTAGGATATTCGAATTTTTCCACATAAGATGGATATGGATGGATGAATTTCGGGAACTTCGGCCCTTTTTTCATGGCCGAATCTATCATCCTTTGAACCTCGATAATATCGATGGATGCTATTTCTATTCTCTACTCAGATCCGTCTGACCTACTACTTGATACTCCCTTTTTTTCCAAGTCAATTGTTTTGGGCCGAATATATTCTACTTCGACTTGTAGCGGATTACTTTTTAGTGGAAATTGTCGAGACTGATCAACAGGTCCCCCTGCAAAGACTCTGCTAACTAATAATTCGAGCAATTGAGTGTGTGTCTCACCATTACTTAGTATGACCTCGAGCAAACTATTCATTTTTTGGATAACTGTCTGTTCAACCTGCCGAGATTGCTCGTCTAGTCATCTTCGAAGAAACGGCCTAGTTGGAGGGTCAAAACCTTCACCACCATCTTCGTCGCAGTCCTCCATTATTCCTTCAATGAAAACGCATGCTGTTCGGTTAGGTATTTTTATGTTTCGAGGCTGGGTACCAAGACAAACTTCCTTTTCTCGGTGTGTCACACTTGCAGTCTCAAAGGTCACAGCAACGAGTGGATTTCGCGCATGTGACACTTATTGTCCATGACTCTGAACTGGCAGATCGGTCGTTGACTTTCCCATGTTAGTTTTCTTTTTAACCGATCATGTCTCGATGGTCATGAATTTCGTAGTTTTAGCACTTGGTCCCACTGGGCGTGCCAAAATGTTGACCCTAAAAACTACCAAGCCAATGTGGTGCACAGGCCGAATAACTAGTGAGCTAACTACGTCTTTCGGTTGATGCGGGGCGTGCCAACTCGTCAGCAGAGCTTGACCGAGGAGTAAAATATGTTAATGTTATGTTGGGTGCGCTGCTGACTTCTCGATCTTGCGATTGCGGCCGAGGAAGAAACACTCTCGGCCTTCGGGTTCTAGAGCCTGAAGATAAGGCTGCTAATTCTGCGAAGTTCACAAATCGTCGGCTCCAGATTCAGTCACGGTGATTATATTTGTAAGGGTATAAGCACGCCGAATCGACACTTAGAGTATAGAGGCACAGATACTCAAAACAAATGTACGTTTTAATCGTAAACGTGGTTTGACCGTTAGAATAACGAACTCTAAATCCAACTAATGAGTATCCAATCATAAAACAACTCGGTGTTCAATGTGACGAGCCCTAGTAAACCGTAACACCTCACTTCACCGAAAAGGCTAATGAGATGACCTCTGCCAATAAAGACCCGAAAGTCTTCCTCGACCGAGACTTAGATAAATTACCAGCCGGCCTCGACACAATGCTGTTTTTCCAAATTGAAGGTGCTTCGCGATTGACTGATTCTACGGCGACAGTGCTGTTTATCCAAACTAAAGATGTTCGCCGGCTACCTTCACAGTGTTGTTTATCCAAACTGAAGATGTGTCGGCGAAAAAGAAAATAAAAATCTCAAGGTTGTTGAGAGGTTTCGCGTAGAGCGAGAGTTTGCGCAGGGCAATTTGTGTGTTGAATTGGAGGAGGTTTGAATGTTACACCCTTCCCTCTATTTATAGTAGCAAACCTGTTTCTCATCAAATCAAAACTATACTCAGCTTAGGACTTCTTACCCCGATCCAATCTTATCTCGGTTAGTCCTACTCCTATTAGGACTTTGAATTCATCCCCTTATCAGGCCGTATTCATTCCCAAGTTTCAGCATCCCCATCCTACCAAGACTCCTTATTGTATCAAGATTCAACTACCCGATCCTGATAGGACACGGCCGGCCCCTGAGCAACGCTTATGGGCCGAGAACAATCCCAAACTTGGCCTAAACCAATATTTTGGGCCCAAACAAGTTGTCAGTATGTCAACTTGCCATCATGACCGAAAAGTACTTTATGTGGAAGCAGTCGGCTTTGTTGCTAGCAGGCAAACCAGACCACCAAGTAATCAACTATAATGCTCGAAATCGTCCTTTGTAGTTTTGTTGGGCCTTGGTCTTTCTTCCTTCCTTAGGGCCTGTACTATTGTAGTAGTTGGAAAGGACCATATGTTAACAATATCCTTTTGGATTATCCCAGTATAATACAGATTCCGTATCCTAAAAGGTCTCTCCTAACTAGCATAAATATACACTTTTAGGATTTTCTGGCAATACAATCGCATACTCTATTCTCTTGCCCACTGCTTGAGTTTCATATATTTCTTACTAACTTGACAGTTGGAGAGACTTGGCTAGTACACCGATGACAAAGTTGTCTTACATGTGTTTGCTCTTTTATAGTTTGTCAAGTTTGTGCATCTCCTCCACATGGTGGTGCACGAATTTGGTCCAACACTCGGCTTTAGTTGTGGTGTTGTGTGTGCTTGCGGTAGTTTTGTGATAGCATTTAGGGGGTTTAACTTATTTATCAGTTGTGTAAATTAATCTCTACATTAAGTAATTGATGATTGGAAAAATGTACTCATATAGCACCTTCGTGTATTTGTTTGGTTCGTATTAATAAAATTATTTGATCGTTGTTAGTAAAAAAACACAAATGGAACTTTAACGAAAAGTTCCCGGTACTGTTCACTTTAATGAAAAATCACATTTTTATATTAAAAAGTCAATCATGGTACTATTCACTTTATCGTTTATTTTGTCCTTATCATTAAAACTCAAAGTTTTCAAACTATTTTTATTAATTTTCCCAAAAAACAAAAGGAATTTCAACTTCGAAATCTTTTGACTCAATCAAGTACTGCCTTTCGGCTGCACAAAACCCTAAACATATATGCATGCCTTAAACTTGCATTATTCTCTTTATTTACTTTATTTTGCTCGAGCGTGCTTTATTATTTATAACTGTCTTTGGTCAAATTCGGTAAAGATAGGTATATTTTTTCTGTTCTCTTCCTTCATTAGCAAAAACATGATTATTGATTCTAAAAAAATCTGTGTAAATTAAGATCAATTTGTACTTTCATTAACCTAGATTATTTCTTCTGTCAAAGTAGTACGGCACAAGTGGCGCAATTGATTGTCAATTGTTAGACTGCCGAGTGTGGATGGAAGAAAATATATTACTACATATCGTATTATTCTTACTTTGTTTCATGATGCAATAGTTTTTCCTCATGTATCAAATATATATTATATCACTCCTTAGTTTGAAGTCGGCTCTGTTTAATTACTGCATTATAGTGATACTTGATATATAATAGACAAAAGGCTGGTATTGTAAGAAAAACTGTTAGAAGAGGAACCCTTTTTTCATGAATTGAGTCAACAGGTATAATTACGCGTAATTAATCTCAAGATCTAAGATACTGAAGTCGAACGGCATAAATACTTGGTGCTGCCAAAAAAAAAAAATGAAAGAAAACCATGCATGATGCACATGTCATGGTGACTTATAACATGACTGCAAAACGAAAGAATGAATGGTAAACGAAAGAATGAATGACGTTCTAGAATATGACTGTCAAATGGTTTTTATTCTTTTGAATAATCAACCAGAGTAAAAAGCTAAAGAACATTCCAGTTTCGTCGACCCCTACTTTCGGTGAGATTAAATCCATCTAAAATTTTTTGTGACATTCCTGTAACCTGTTGACACTTATTATTTATTTGAATTCTACTTAACATATTGTTAACTCTTAATAAAAAATAAAAACTAAAGATAAATTAAGTCAAATAACACGTGTCACTTCAGTATATAGGTCATAGAGAAGCCATAAAGATTTTTAGATGCAAAAGATTTGAACTCAATTTCGATATAATACTTAAAAATCTCTGCTTTGATTGTTAAATGGTTAATGTATTAAGTAAAAGTCAAATCCTTAAAGCTAGTGAAAAAATTGAACATAGAAGTATTGCCACAGGAGATGAAAACGGGCCAACTTTTGGCTATCCCATATCGGTGGGGGAAGTAAAAAATAATGACTTTAAATAGGATTACTCCACTCTAGCTAATACTGAATTTTTTTGTGATAAAATCCTACAACTGGCAGATTAAGTATGTGGTAATTATAGTGGGCATGCCGAGCCCGTTTATCTGAAAATTTCAACACCGACTCAAATGAACGTTCTAATGCCATAATAGAGAATACAGGAAACAATAGTATCATAGTGAGGATTGATATAAGCTTCTCCAAACTTAATTACCTTATAACACATTGTAAAAAAACCTTTTTTAAACACACATTGCAAGGAACATGTGTTTCGCACACAAAATCATGTGTTAATCACAAAGTATTGTAATTATAAAACAGATGCTGCCTGCAATGGATGCACGCAAATTTTCTTATGCATGCAAATTATTTTCAAAATCAAACATCAAACTGAATTATACTTTATTTTGCTTGAAGTATGACATCATTAGCTAAATATAGTTTTCTTCTTCAGTTTATTCTTAACCAACAAAGAATCATTTTTGGATTCGTTGGCCTCTTTCATGTTTAATGACCGAAAAGCCTCTTCAAGATGTTCAAGTGTAGGTCGGCTAAAGCCATTAATCTACCAACAACATGCAATGAAACAAATCCCCGGCGATATCAGCAAGACGAGTTTTCACACCTTTTTATGTTTGATTAATACTTCTTTCAGCGGTAGCTTCTTTTTTTTTCCTACCAATTAATTAATTTGGTCATAAGCTAGAATTGCATGAAAATAATAATCAAAATTTGAAAGAAATAGAAAAAGTCTGCCTTTAATTAATTATGTTTTATCAAATACATTGTGGCCTATTACGTACAAAACGTTTGGGTCCTTAAAATTCTGCTACATAAAGTCGTCCTTCTATCGCCCTTAGTTCACACAATCATAGAGCCTAAAATGGTCATCTTGTTATCCCATTTCTAGAATTCATTAAATCTCTCACCCTATATATGCCCCTACCCTTTGCATATAGCAGTGGTACAATAACACAGAGAGAAATGGCCGGATCAGTTAAAGCCCTCTTCTTCTTAGTTCTCGTCCTGTGCTCTACTTTATTAGTCTATGCAGCAAGACCAGAACCAGCTTTTTCAGCAGTCAATTATGCAAAAACCCGACTCGAGGTTTGTTAAGTTTTAACGTTTTTATTGTGTTTTAGTATTACACTGTGATGTTTTTATAATGTTTTAGTACTGGGATTATGAGTTTGATATATAGTTTGTGTGTGTGTGTGTGTGTGTGTGTTAATTAGGGTGTTGAAACAGAACAGGTTGATGAGGTGATGGGTGAGAGCTGTGAAGGAGTTACAGAGGAGGAGTGCTTGATGAGAAGGACTCTGGCTGCTCATGTCGATTACATCTATACACAGAAGCATAATCCTTGAAGTTTCTTTGTTAACTACATGTATTGTGATTATGTACTGAATATGTACGAAATACTTGTTTGTAATAACAAGAAATATTCTTAGCAGTTTAGCTGATATTATAATTAAAGTATCCCGTGCTTTCTTTGTCTTTCTCTCTCTCCATCATACTCTCTGGTAATACATACTGTAAATTTGAACCATTGATCGGTTTGGTTCTTGCTCAAATGTATCATCCCAAATTTATATTTTGACAAAATATGTATCTGGCAACATGTTTAGTAAGAGAACATTACAAAATTAGTCCTGCAAAAGAACACATAAATGTGAAACTTATATATTTAATTCATTGCCAAAGTAGTAAAGAATGATGTTCTGTTATTATTGCCAAGTAAAAAGACGATATAAAAAAAATAAGCCAACCATAGGTCATGAATCCCTGCTTATACGACCATTTACCATTAACCTTCAGTAATCTAGATTTATATTTTGTTTTTCTGGTAATCTAGAAAGTCCGCCAGCATGAGGCCCCAGAGTCCTTGGTCTATATGTCAAAGCATTAAAGGTGAGATTAAAATACCATGCAATCTAGAAACTTTATCTTCCAGAATACATCTTGAACTTTTCCGCATGCAGCATTTTACAAACTGTTATAATTACATCACCATATATAAAAGGCTTTTTAGTCAAAATGGTCAATGAGATTTGTATAACACATCACTTTGGTCCTTGAGATTGAAAATCAATAGAAATTGTCCCTGAGATTGTCCATCATTCATTAGTTTAGTCATTCAGTTAAAAACTCTGTTAAGTATCCTGGAAGTTTGGGCAATTTTCAAAACTTCGTAACTCAATCGTTTCTTAACCAAATTTGACCTATAATATATCAAAATGAAGATAGTAAAGTGTAGAACAAGATTATACCAATTGGAAGGCCAATGGTTGCCGGATATGGCCGGAAAATAGCCTAAAAGGTGACTGGTTCGAGGGAAAACTGGAAAACTCGCTGAAAACTGGGTAAACTTTAAATGTTCATAACTTCTTCAATACTCAACGAAATCGAGTGATTCAAAAGCAAAAATAATACTCCTCAATGAGACGAAGAGAATGGTATCTTTTGATATGGATAATTCGCAGTGGTTTAACCGAAAATGGCTAACTCTAGACTAAGACAGCCATTTTCGAGCCATTTTCCTGCTAAAATACGGCGAGTTAGCTGTCGAGAAATATATCATTCTCTTCATCTTGTCGATAAGTATGATTTTTGTTTTTTAATCACTCGATTTCGTTAAGTATTGAAGAAGTTATGAATGTTTAAAGTTTGCCCAGTTTCTGGCGAGTTTTCCAGTTTTCCTGCGGAACAGTCACTTTTCAGACTATTTTCCAGCCATCTCCGGTAACCATTGGGCTTCCAGATATATATAATTTTGTTCTACACTTTCCTATCTTTATTTTGATATATTATGGGTCGAATTTGGTTAACGATTGCATTACGAAACTTTGAAAATTGACTAAACTTTCGACCAGGAGCTCCGGGACACTTAACGTAGTTTTTAACCAAAATAATGGATGGTGGACAATCACAGAAACCATTTCTATTGATTTTCAATCTCAAGGATCAAAGTAATATGTTATACAAATCTCAGAGACCATTTTGACTAAAAAGCCTATATAAAATTAACTTTAAAAAAAAAAATGAAACAGTACATGGTCTGTTTAAACCAACCATCTCTTTATTATTCTCCGAAGCTAGCTGCTGCTTTCAAACTTCCTACTTTTGCTTTTATCAAAGCTTAATTAAGAGTAACCTGGGAAGGGATTTAGATCCTCTCTAGATCCCATTTGGGAATGCTGTGGATCAATGCATAGTAATCGTTTATCAAAGATCGTGTAGCCATAATTTTTTCTTTTTTATATTTTTTAAGCAAAACGAGGTTGTTTTACTTTTAAAAATATAAAAAGAGTAAATTGTAACAATGGTCCCCCAACTTTAATCAAATTAGAACATTGGTCCATCAACTAAAAATTCATTACCATTGGTCCCTCAACTTATCAAAATGTGTAGCTATAGTACTTTTCATCAATTTCATCAAAATTTTGTCAAAATAAGTTATGTTGGAATAACCATTTATATAATTAGGGCCCATCAACTCATCAAAATGTGTAATTATGGTCATTTTCGTCAACTACGTCAAAAATTTTGTCAAAACGAGTTATGTTGGAAGGACCATTGCTACAATTTGGTTAGAGTTAATAGACTATTTCTCCAGTTGAATTAAAGTTTAGGGACCAATGGTAATGAATTTTTAGTTAAGAGACTATAGCTGCACATTTTGATGAGTTGAGGGACCAATGGTAATGGATTTTTAGTTGAGGGATCATTACTCTAATTGAGTTAAAGTTAAGGGACCATAGCTATAATTTTCTCATATAAAAAATATTCAATTGTGACCACACGATATTTGATGAACGGTTACTATGCATTGATTATGCATTGATTCCCAGTATTCCCAGCGATGGGATCCGTAGAGGATCTAAATCCCCTGGGAAGTAACCAGTAGAAGTGAGTGTGGTTGAACTGCGTGTGAATTGAATGCTTTCCTCTTCCTCATCTCTACACCTGTAAGAAATTCATGAATGTCTGCAACCACTTAAAAGTAATTTCAGTTGGGGTTCGTTTACCAAAGGTGAAAATCAACAAAAAACAATTATTGTTCTCATCGGTGATAAATTGGACAACGTCCAACTCAAAAGTTATAAGTTATTAGGTGAAAGTATTTATGTCATTCATAGTAACATTACATAGATCATTCTATCTGTTTTTATCTGCGCAATTTCTGGTTTCTAACTAAGCTATCTATACTAGAACTCATGGGTGCTATATTTTTTGTTTTACAATAAATCTTTGAACAAGATTAGAGAACCCTTAGATTTCTTTTTTCTTTTGTTTTTGTTGATTAAACATGAAAAATGAGAAGTTGTGATTTGCTACCCACCCATTGAGGTTTGGATGTGTCGTACAAGCCTAAGGAGCTTCAGACATGCTTAATATGACATCAATATAACATGATAGTAAATCTTTCTCCTCTAACTTATTTTCCACACAACCAATCACTTTAGTGCTTACAAAGTCACACCACTACAAGTACAAACTATTTAGGCAAGGTATAAATTAACCAAACTAAATAATTTGTTTTCTTTTAACTCTCCAGTTGAACTCCAAAACTGAGACAAATCTAAATTTGTTTCCATACCAATGGTTACAATGCACACATATACTTGTATTAAAAAGTCATATATATAAGGAGTAATTAGGTTTTCATCCTTATTTTTACTACTCTATTGATTAAAACCTTTTTACTTTTCAATTTTTGATCAAGGTCCTTTGTATTAATAATATCATTAATTATTTCAATAATAAAATATTTTTTATTTCTAAATATATTCATTTAATATTTAAAATGTTACAATTAGTATATTTATATTTATGGCTAAATTTTTTATCATATATTTTATTTTTTAGTTTGTACCCTTTTTAATTTGCAACCCTTTTTTAATTGTACCAATTTTTCCTTTCAGTTTTTAATTTGTACCCATATATTAATTTCTTTTTGTGCCCATATTTTTTTAAAGTTTATTTGTATTGTACCCATATTTTTTTATTTATTTGTACCCATTTTTATTTTTGCTAAATGTACCCATTTTGAAGAATGTACCCATGTTTTGATACAATAATTTTTTGGTTATTTTTATGAATGTACCCATGTTTACACACACACACACACTAGTATATTTATATTTTAATATTTTTAATCCCACAAATTATGGTTTTTTATTTAAAATCTCATTACTATAAACAACTATAAATTTTAATTTTTAATTTAAAAAATATAGTAACATACATAGAAATAAATTATCAATTAATTTCAGGGACTTGGATCAAAAATTGAAAACCAATAAGGTTTCAGTCAAAGACTGTTCATAACTAGGGACCGCATCCAAAGTCTCCCTATATATAATCATGTTGGTAATTTTTTCGCAAAAAATGCTTAGCTGGTATTGTAGGTAGGCTCATATAACCAATAAGAAGCCTTTAGATAGCTTTTAAGCGCATGTGGTTTGGGGTTTCAATATTCCAAAATCTGAAAAAATAGTTCTGACCCTTGCTAGTGGAGTTTGGCTTTTTTACAGCACTAAACTAAAATTAAATCAGTGACGAATGAAGTTAGTTGGATTGTAACTACATAAACATGATGGCTCTCCTCTCCCACTTTAAACTACCACCACTCTATATAGCTTTTGACTATGACTCTTCACGCTGCACGCTCCGATTTTATGGTCCTTTGCATTGCATCAGTTTGAACTTTATCTGCAAGTCGCATAGCTCCTAAGTCTAAACGCGTACAAAGTCTATAAAAATTGATCAATGATCGAACAATGAGGTAAACAGAATTTTGATCTCAGACAGATTATTACATTGTTCTAGACAAGGATGTTTTTCGTGTTGGCGGGACACACTTGGATGGTTTGCAAGAATTTGGTAATGAAGTCCATATGATTATAGAAAGCTCATATGAGGTTGTTCCAGCTACGTTGAGGTGATATAATATTAAAACGGGGTGTGATATCCACACACCCCATTTTACTTCTCACACAATTTTTTAATTTTCGGCCGTCGAATCAGATGAATTGAAAAAGATCAACGGACATAAATTATCAAGGAGTGTGTGAGAAGTAAAATGAGGTTTGTGAATAGCACATCCCTATTAAAACTAATTAGAATGTGGAAGCTCATTCACCTTTGACCTTCCTTGTATTCAACTGCTTCAAGATAGTACGCGGTAGATGTGCGACTTGCCAATGCGCGTACGACCATCCCATGCTCTATACATTAGGTCGGTATAGATGGTCCTCCAATTTTTAGTCGGCTAGAAATAGAGGCCAGGAAGAATCTAAATGATGTAGTTAAAAATGGAAAAGTGCAATAAGATAAATTGGACATAAAGTAGATGCATGGGTGGGGGTCCACAGCTATCATCTTCGATATTCCTTTAATATCATGACCCACTACTAATCAACATCGATATTGTCTTAAACCTAGAGTTTGAGATTCAATCCAACTACTAATCAACGACGATATATCATAAACTTAACCACATGTTGTTTCCCTCTTTTAGACTGGGTTGGGCAGCCTAGAAGAGCAATCTAATAGGGTGTAGGATTTTTCAATTTGTGGTCCCAGTTCGGGTTTAATCGTGACTAAAACTCGGCTCTCTATTGTAACATGTCATGCCCCAAAACCAAGTACGTAAGATTGTCGTGAATATAAAAAGTACACAAGAATATAAGGTCCAAGCATTCAGAAGATTCTTAAAAATTTAATGTAAATGGTGCTTGGGAGAGTGACGAAGAGGTTGAGTGTGTAGGGGTTGTTGTTCGTGACTTTATTGAAAGCTTTGTTCGATGGTTTAGCATGTTTTAACAATGTTTTTTCTCCCCAGCTCGTCAAACCTTAGTTGCAAGGGAGAACTTTGGCGTTGTACTTGTACAAGGTGTTACCTTATAAATTTTCCAGAGTGAATCACTCTAAATCCTTTCAGCTTTAAAGATTCGACTTCAAACATGACTAGCATTGGCTATGTCAAAGATGAAAATTTTTCTTTTAAATGTCACCGGTTACTCATATTTCGTCATGCCAATGAAGTTACACATTATTTTACTCGTTTTGCATCTTAAATTCACCAAGTTATGATAATAAAGATTTAAAATTGGGTTTAGAGGATATAACACAAAAATAGGTAGCGAATTCGATACCAAATTAAATTACTCATTGTGTGACTTAGCCGAATTATCTCTCTCTTCTTAGTATAAAAATATCGATGTTAAAAATATCGATGTACTAAAAAACACACACATACAAATCAACTCGACTAAACTCACATATGCACCCTAGTTTTCTCTTTTACAAAAGGGGTAAAGTTGTCTTTGAATAAAACATGCGGCAAACCGGGGGAAAACCGATTTCTTCCAAAAGTTGCAGCAAACCGGTCTAAATTACAAACCCTCAAAAGCAAGAAGCTGAAAACCCCTGAATTTTGGCAAGCATACAAATTGCAACGAGATCCAGAGTGTTTGTGCAGAAAATGTTTCGAAGACGATTCCTCTCGTTTCCTTTGGTAATTGGAGCAGCCGTGTAAGTCCCTTTCTTTACGATTCAAGTCGAGTCTGTTGATTAACAAAATGGAGCAATACCCTTTATGTCTTACTGTGTTCATCGGCGATCCTGCACTTTCTTTATCTCTCAGAACGCTCCATTTGGTGTTTGGGTCTTTGGCCCAGATTGATTTGCAGATGCATACATGATATTTTTGTTGATTCATTGTTTGTGCTGTTTTTGTTTAAAAGCGTTTGGGTGTGACTGCCTGCCTGAAGTTCTGATATTGTTAATTTTGTGATTGATTGACATAACCAACTCGATATGTAAATTGGTAGGAAACGGCAATGTGGAAGTTTGGAATGTGCAGTAGTTGCAGATAAATCGATAAAAGGGGAAAACAAATCTTTATGTGGTGTTTGTTATTGTTTATCATGGGCTATGTATTGGTATAAGATGAGACATTTGTATTTAGGGTGCCAAGACATGAGACGTTCCTTCTTTGAAACGCTTCATAGGCAATACGTAACGTGGCTTTCAATGCTGCGCTCGTAGGACAGCTATGTGCAGTTCATGAGTAGTTTCTTCAATGGCAATGATTGTCTGCAGCAACCCTCGTTTTCTCATGTGTACATTGTTTTGCTTTGTTTATTTATAAGGTTAGTTTGCTTCATCATTTGCCTTTCCTTTACATTTTGTAACGGTAATCCCTGCATGAAATTGATAGCCGAGATCCTAACAGGCTAACACGATGAGTTATTTTTAAACCCTGCATGAAATTAATGTATTCAAAACTGCAACTGTCTGTTTAGTCCTATGGAAAAAGTCTGGCCATTAGCAACTTCTTGCAGGTTCCACTTTCTTATTTCCATTCATGAGGCATATAATATATTTGATATTATGGAACCACTAGGTCCACAACGAAGTAAATGATAGTCTGTGGCCTTTCTTTCATTCTGGCATCTATTTACTGGATTGGTGAGTCTACTCTCTCGTGATAGAAGTACCTCAATCTCTGTGTTTGTGATTGTGATTGTGCTGTGGTTTTTTAAGTTCTTAACTGCAAGCATAGTCTTGTAGTCTGTTTTTGTTCTTCTATCTCTTCACTGGATTGGTGAGGTTACTGAATCCTTGAGATAGGGATAGGGAGATCTTGAAGCATTCAGGTACACAAAAAGTGCAGTGACTTTAGTAGAAGCAATTGAATTACCAAAAACAACTGCATCTTATTTACACTTTTTTCCAGATTGCGTATATTGTTCTTTTTACTACAGATATATATATGAATGAAGAATCTGTATTTTGTGTTGAGATTCCTTAATAACCCAATATTTGCATTACATCCCATCGGTTCTTTTTGTGTAATTTGTTGATCTTGTTACTGTGTTATCTGTCCTTTGTGTGTAGAGAAAATGATCTGACATTAAGACTAGGAGACCTTCAGTCATCTAGTTGATTGTTAATGAGAGAATCATTAAAAAAATTGCATTTCGTATCAGATAGCAATTTGAGCTTAGTTTATTTTCTTGCCTGAATTTCAGCTATGAATGGCCTAACAAAGTTTTAATGCTGGGATTTACCCTTTTTCATTTAATATAGTGTCCCGAGAGCCATGGTACTTGGTATCCTGTTCGTGTACCTTAATATTTCCCCCCCCCCCCCATTTTTCAGTCAGCTATAGAAACTTGTGTGCATATTTGTGATCTGATTTTGAGTGACATTCAAGCTAACCCGACGATTGTACATGAAATTTGCAGGATTGGAGTTGTTTCAGGCAAGGCAATATTTGGACCCCCACTTGATGAGTACTGGAAAAAGAAGCAGCAGGAAGATGCAGCGGCAAAGGAGACTGATGCAAACTCAAGTTAACCACTGTATACTGAAACCTCTCATGTTCGGTCGTTTCATAGAGTAAAGCGATGGGATGGGAATTGTTATTTCATTTGTTTGCACTTAAACAGTAGGATCATGGCAACAGCTAACAGCTAGTTTTTTTTAACACGTTACGTGTGGGATCCCGTACGTTTGTTGGGATGGAAAACGGGATACTAACATGACCAGAAACCGATGTCGTTGGACTATCGATCACAATCGTGTGTGTGGATATGTCTCAGAGAAGGGATGGAATGATTAAGCGTTGGAATGAATTTCCTCTGACACTGCCATCAGTCTTATAGACTTATACTGAAGAGGCATGAAGAAGTCTATATAAAACTGATGCCATTGTCAGAGAAAATTCATTCCAACGCTTAACCATTCCATCCCTTCTTTGAGACATTCACACACACCATTGTGATTGATAATTCGACATCGGTTTCTGATCTTGTTTGTATTCCATTTTCCAAAGAGATTTTTTAGTATCAGTACACCAAATGTAATAATACAAGTGATTGGATACTTGAAAAATTTTCAACCACTTATGTCACGACAACTGGAGTATCGGGCTGTGTTTCTAACACGTTGAAATATTTTTCCATTTTCCATCACGTTGAGACTGTCATAGTGAGGGTGCTCAAAATCTTTTAATTCAAACAGGGGGAGGCCAAAGTTGAATTCCTGTTGTGGATTGTGACGAAGCAAGTGATCGACGACTACAACTCCTGCAAACCTTGACTATTTATTTAGTTGGACAATTTCTTGGAACTCTATCAATGAAATCCGGGATGATGATCCAAAATCCCAAGGCAAAACTATCCATAACACGTAATGTAATGACCTTACTGAGAAAAGATGACATTTATGGATTTGGAAATAATATAATTTTTGTTGACCCTGGATGTATTCTAACCTCTCAACCGAATTCGAATTCTTTTCCGTTGTTTCTTCTTACCAACAAGGCAAGCAAGTTCTCTTGCATCAGACATTCAGGTTAAGAACCAAGTTCAAGAGCAAGACTCATTTGGTGTCTATAAATGGATTGGACTAGATAGCGAAAATTTCTACAATACTTGAGTACTGGATATTTCCGGTGTTTTAACCTTGAGATCTTTGTTTAAAAATACAAAAATCAAGATTTAACGGTTGAAATATCAAGAGTACTGGTTTTTTGCTGGATAACTCATAGCTATAAGTGAAGGTAGAGTTAAGTGATTTTTCTATTGAGAGGATTAGGGATTAGACATTGAAGGAAACTCATCCCTTCTAATCTTCCCATTTTGTGGGACTGGAAGGGGTAAGTTTTCTTCCAAAGTAATCTATCGTCTACCTTAATTTATACAAAATTTCTACATTTCTGCCTTCAACGTACCTTAAATATATCAAGTTATCCTATCCACTTTAATTCTAAGCACCAAACAACCCAAGTTCCAATCTACAAATGTACAATAAATCAACAACAGTACTAATCTACAAGAATTAAATGGTTGAATATATTTGCAGTCAGAACAAATGAGATGCACAAACATGTAATAGATAGCAGCAATCATATAACATAAAATTATTATGTTCTATAAGTAAGTATACTGTTTATGATTCATCTAAACAACAATGAAGGTTCTTTCTTTTGCAAATTCTGAAACGTTTGATCTCACCAACATCGACCGGTGCAGAGCAGCATGTCATCAAAGTTGAATCACCCAAACATAAATTCTCCTCTGTCGTAAGCAGCCGACTCTAATCAGTTCTTCGATCGAATATCCAAATGAAATTTACGGCCTTAGACGGAATATGTACAAGCAGTTTCCAAAAGATAAGATTCATGGCAAACTAAGATGGAACCAATGCCCATGGACTGTCAAGTATGTGTAAGCACAAAGACAGAGATATAGTAGCAATAACAGAAGATTTTGCAGCAGCATATCTCACTACCTCAAGACCCCTGTCCACGGTTTCCTCACGAACAGAATTAACGCATTTTTTCATCCCATCGTTTAGTCTGTCCAACAAAAACTCCAGGAATGATCTGACTGTTTCAGATGTAACCCTCCCGGTGACATCAAGAACAAACCGCCGGTTGCTTGGCACTGCCAAAGTAGTGGACACTTTACCAACCCAACCGCTATTGTTCCTCTCATTCTCCACATTTCTTGCCTTTGAATGCAACGATAATGCCTGTTGCCTCAAGCCCTCGTCTCTAGTTGGAGTTGAGCCTTCATCAATTGCCAAATAGGAACTCGAGTTTGATTTCGAAGGGTTTGCATTTGAAGTTGAATCTGTTAATACTTGGTGAGATGTTCTGATAAGAGTTTCCACCGCGCCATTGCAGACAGACGACAGCATGTCTCTCACTTTTGTTTCATGCTTGGAGTTGGTTAACCCAGAAAAGATGTCATCATAGGTGTTGATACCCATGGTCTTGTCAAGATAAACCGCAACAGCTGTGCTTACAAATAACTGGATACAATCACCAATCAAGTCTCTGAACTTTTCGCTCGAAACCACATCCACCCATCTCGGAACATCATCCATTTCCGTCACATAATCGTCCATACTCGACGAATTGTTTGAGTTAGATCCTCCACCAGACTTCCCATCTGAATAGAAAGCTAATACCACATTCCTAGCAAAGTTTCCAACAACAACAGAAGCAAAACCCGACCCGGCCTTGGTAAAAAGCTTATCCATAACCTGGTCTGTAAAGCTTGAATCTCCACCATCCCCATCACTCGTTGTGTTCAATCCATAACCCCGCAATACCCCCAAACTTACAGCCTGCGTGACCGTAACAACAGATTCCGAAAACTCATCACACCTAGCGATTTTCGATAATTGCTTTAAACTATTTGGAATTTTATCAGAATCAGACTTCAGAAAGTCCTTCAAATCCTTAGACACAACTCCAATTGACTCAGCAGAGTCAGAAACTACTTCAGCTACGGAAACTAATGCCCCTAGAAGCTTTAAAATTCTCTTTCTTTTCTGAGATACTGAAGGCAAGTGATATAACCTATACACACCATAACCGGAGAAGCCTAAAGCGGCCGCTACAACGAGCCACTTCGTCCTTTTCCGGGAAAAATCGACACCGTTTATCGCCAATTGCAGGTCCATCAAGAATTCGAAATCTCGAGGACCCAGTTTTGATATTTGCTTCAAACTTTCACCAGCTATTTGGTTCCTGCTAAAAGTGTGCAAGGCTTGCGTCTCACGGTGTTGGATTTAAAGAGATAAAGACGAAGTACTTACCTCAACTGAGACCAATAGCTGAGCAAAGAAAGCATCAAGATTTCTATTATTTTATGGATACCAAACACAAATGGTCATTGGCTTTTTCAACAAACAGTTGGGGGTCTTTTTATCCCAAATTTGAAGACTACGTTGCAGAGAGAGAGAGAGAGAACCTGTGAAAGTGAGAAGCGGATGACCTAAAAGCCGTTGCAGAGAGAGAGAGAGAGAGTATGCGTGTACTAGTTTCTCTGGTTCTGATTTCTGAAAGGGTTAGAGGTGAGAACGCAAACGATCTTCAGCGTCATTTTCTTTCTTCAACCACCACCGTAAGCAATTTATTTTTGTGGCCTTTTATTTTCGCACCTAAACTTTACATTATTGCCAAGGATTATTACATTTTTTTTAATAAAAATAAATAATAAAAAAAAAAAAGATCACTTCGTTTTTCTCCTTCAAATGGAGAGAAACTCTCATGTGTAACAAGAGATACTTTGTGTTAAACATTTATTGGATAGGTGAAGTACTTTTTAAGCACATAATAAATATTTATTGGACGACTAATGTCATTACAATTATATAAGAGAATTTCTCTCATTCAGAAGAGGTGCTATGCACACTTTATGATGAATGGGACATCAACACATTTCTTAACACGACTACCTAGAACGGAATGACGAGAATTTTGTGTATGCAAGTTTTATGTAACAATTCGACCAAAAAGAAAATAGGTTTCCTTTGTGCAGGCCTTTTAAGGGAATAGGTACTCATTTTATTCAAAAAACGGGGATTAGTTGTGGGACCTACTCAACATCGAACTCCAACGATCCAAACCGTCTATATTTTAAGTCTCGATTCATGGATCATCCTTACAAAAATTTCTTTCGATCTGCAACCATTTGACTATTCAATTATCACGATGAAATTTTAATGTTTTTTCTTAGAACAAAGTGTTCGTCAATTTCTTTGAACTTAATTAAATGCCTCAAATATTTCTGATTTCGTTAATATTTTGCAAGGATAATCTATGAAGTTCAACTTGAAAAATAGACGGTTCAGATCATTCAATTTCGATGTGATGTGGGCCACACATCTCCCCTTTTTTTAAAAAAAAAAAAATGGGAATCCCTTCCTTAAAGGCCTTCTCTTTTGTGACTATAAAACCAACTCATGTTTTTTAAAGGTCTAGGTTAGAGTCCTAATGCATGCAATTTCTTTTGGTGGGGATCTATAAAAACCAAAAAATGGGCTAAGACCCCATCTGTAAGTCCTCAAAGAGGCTTGTGTCTGCCCTTATGATGGGGTAACCTTCCCTCTCCCTAAACCTTTTGTCAGTGGTGGAGTCAGCATGGGGTCATTGGTTGTCCTGGATCTCAACAACTTCAAAAATCTCATGTATATTTGTTAGTGTATTGTATTTACCCCTATAAACAGTTAAGGCAAACTAAATTACAACCTCCTCCTTCTACTTCTTCTATTTTCTTCTATATATTTATCTTTCTTTTCTCTCTTCTTGTTTGTGACTCTATTTTGCGCATCATGTGCTCGGTAAAATACTCTAGTTGAAAAGCCTTGGCAAGCTTCAATATTACTCTACAGTATCCTGCATCTACCCTCGACAAGTCTCCACAAATAATATTAGTTGTTGACATATGTTGCATAAACTTTTGACATATGTTGACAGGAACTGGCACGTGCCTACTAGCTGCTCAACCTAATGAAGCTTTTTTTGTTTATATTATGACCCCATTATTTTAAAATCCTAGCTACACCACTGTTTTTTTTTTTTTTTTTATCAAACAATTAGCTAGGTATCATTTTTAGGGTTAGGGTTGAAAATTTTATGACATTACACAATAACAAAGAAGAAATTAAGGGGTGATCCAGGAACCTTTCTTGACTCGTTTATTAATTCTTAACCGAAATTTGATTTAGAAGAAACTGAGTTGATGAGAATCAAAATATGAATTTCCATTATAGTTGTTTATTGAAATTTTCTGAAATTGGAGTAGAAACATTGATTCCATATAAGTTGTTTCACTAATTACCAAAAGAAAAAAAAATCATATAAGCTAGTTCTATATGAGTTGTTTTTCAGAATGAGAGTAGAAAACCCTATATGACATTGAAAACGTGAATGTAGCAGCTGAACCAATCTACTATCTATTACCAGGAGCCTCAAAACAATAAGATTCATACACACATATCCAATTGGAGTACCTTTCTTTCAAGCATTTCTTATAGTTGAGACAATCTTTCGTCATGTCTCCCTCCTTATTGTAGAACATGCATTTGCGCTTATCGGTATTTTCCTTGTGTACTTAAGAAACACCATTGCCTTTCTTGGCCTTTCCCATTGCATGTGTCAATCTCTAAGGATAAGGTGAGCTTCAATGTCCCTTCTTGCCCATAATGTGCTCACACACTCTTAGGATTGTCGTGCTTCATGCTAGAAAGCTAATGCATCACGAACGGTGCTAGCAAGTGCCTTATTAAGGGACAGTTTGATAACCATTTCATTTTCTATTTTTGGTTTTTACTTTTCATTATTTTGAAAATTGAAAAACTGAAATCTTTTTTTATAACTACCTTTAGTTAAAAAAAAAATCAAAACTAAAAATAAAAAAAAGTAAAAACTCAAGATCAAATTTTGAAAACTCAAGAAAGTAATTTTCAATTTTCAAAACAGTGTAAACAAAAATTGAAAATAAAATGGTTATTAAATAGCCCTAAGCTCCTCATCTTTTTGCATTCCTGGGATTGAACGCTTTTACTTAAGATGGTCCCACCATCTTTTTTTTTTTTATAGTTGCACGTCTTCGCCCTTTTAAATAGTCTCCATCATCTTCTTTTTACTTTTTTTTCTTCTCTCTTAAATATCACCTTTATGTTTACTTTTATGAGGTTTTATTACCCTATTTTAAGATCACACCACATATACCTTTATTATGTACCTAAAAGGTTAAAACTCTCACTTTTTTGAAAAATGACATTATTTAATATTCAAATTAATTAGTTTATATAATAAATAATAAATTATTCAAATCCGCCTTATCCGACTAGGTTCGTATACGAAAATAACTATCATCTTCACTCTAGTATTTTCCCTTGGTGTAAGATGTCGTCTCTGTAATCTAACAATTCACTCATTTATTGAATGTAATAAGTAACATTGTAACAATAGAAAAAATGATTGGAATTTAGCGTACTGGGTATGGACTTCTCTTTGGGTTTGAATTGGTTGAAAAATTAGATTATGTAAACTTAATAAGTGCATTTGCATCTATAAACGCAAGACGGGTAATATTTGAGTAATGTTTGTATATCTTTCTTCTTCTTTTTTATATTAATTTGTAATGATATTTGATGTAATAGACTTTTCATGTATTTAATGAATTTTTTTTTACACATGTCAATGAACAAAGGGTCGGGAGTCAAAGAACTCTAGGGCCCCACTTAGAAGGCTCACCTAGGGCTCCCAAATTCCTAGGGTCAGCCCTGGGACTAGTGCAGCTCACGTGATGTAGTAATAGAATGTAAAACCAACACACAGTCTATTCCATTGTTTGAATGTCTCTACAATGGACTTGTGTGCCTACATAAATTAATGAGCATTGATTTCTTGTGATAACGAATTGACATTTGATGTTGAAATACCTTGTTGTCACTTGTATTGCAAGGTATCTATTACATACTATTATTATAATATTTTTGAAAATTATATACTTGTTTTACTGCGATGGGAACATCATATGCTTCCATGTTAGCTTCTCAATTTTGTGAGTATAAATCAACATCGGACAAAGAAGGAACTTTTGTGCGATTATAAGTTGTTGCAGGGCTAATATTGTCAATTAGTTTTATGATGAAACCTCAACTTTCTCCATAGTATCAGGACAAGTTGTCTAATGTGAAATGTCCAACAGTTACATGTGCCCCACGTTCTCTAATATGTGTTGTTCATGTGTTAATTTCAAAACTCGCCAAACATATTTTGTATCAATTGATCAATTTTTTTAATGTGATCGAAACCCCATAATGTGAGCTCATTTGTAAGTGTTCATTTACTAATGTTATATCTTTGAATCTAAATCGTCATCTCATAACATAAATCATTTAAGTACGATAAATTTTTTAAAGTGCTGGTATTCAAGTGGGTACTTCATCTATTATAACCAAGGTCTAAAATATCAATGATATTGGAAATATCGATAGTCCAAAAACACGGAAATTTCGATGAAAATATCGGGATATTATCGATATCGATAAAAATTGAATAAAAACCATGGAAATTGTAAGAAAAACTTGGAAATTTTTATTGAAACTTTGCAGGATGTTTATTTAGTCAATTATCTATTAGTTTATCACAAAAAATTGGAAGGAAATGCATTGCATGATGGATTTAACTGATTTAAGTTGATTATATAACGAGCTGGCAAACATTGTGGGTGTAGAAAATATGTAGTAATTAATGAAAGAAGTTTAAACACACCATAATCATTTATATATAATGAATTAGTACAATATTTTACACTTTATACATTGTATGGTAAAATACATGAGTGACTTAGTACCATATAAAGTTCCTATCAAGGTCTAAAATATCGATAATATCGGAAATATCGGTAGTCCAAAAACAAAAAAATTTCGATGGAAATATCAGAATAATATCGATATTTTAGACCTTGATTATAACTAATACAAGTGAAGAAAAACGCAAAAATACATTATTTTCTCTACTTATATTAATACCCACCACTTGAAAATATCTCTCCGTAAGAATTTTTTTTTAAAGTATAAACACATAAACCGGGGGAGGTGCCGACTGCTGCACTGCAAGTGGCATTAGATCCAAGAATCGAAAAGACTCAACCAGGTCCAGTGTA